GCCCGATTTTAGCTTGTGATGGTCTGATTATTAATTTTCCTCTAGAACATGCATCACAAGGAAACTCATCTGATTGAAAAATCTTATGGTTTTTCAATGGGTGACCATGAGAGTTTTCGATAATCTTTCTCATCATAATGGCATCAGGATGACCCAATCGATCATGCCAAACTTTGAATATATCGGTAAACTTCTGGTTTACTGTGGCATATGATTCAATCACATTGATATTAGTATAATATAATCCCGAAGATAGAGTGGGTAATTTTTCTAACACATATTTTTGTCCCATATTGATTGAGGTGATACACAAATATTCAATATCACCTTTATTTGTGGTTTCAATATGATATCCATTCAGTCGGATATCTTTAAAACTTAATAGATTTCTTTGGGACTTGGAGGAAAATAATGCATCTTTTATAGCAAATTTTGTTCCTCCTGGCATTATGAAATCGGCTCTTCCGGAGCCTTCAATTATTTTTGCATTTCCAGATATAGTAATGACATTTCCTTTGTTTATTTTCAGACTAGAAAAATATTTCTTGTCTGTCAGTATTGTATGTGTTGTAGCACTATCTGCTAAACATATATCTCCTCCTCGATTTGCAGATTTAGCCATACTCATTATCTATTGAAGAACAAAACAACATAGTAAACATTAGAAAATATATTATAACATTATGACTAACAGAAATGATGACACAGATACATAACTATTTTACAAAATGTAGACGCATTATTTATGCATATATGGATTATTACGAGGTTGATTACATACATAAACGATACAACTATATATATGGCTTTTTATTCATAATCAACGCCATCTTCAGGATGCGCAAAACCATCAGCGAGGTCCATGTGTGTAAAATCTTTAGCACCACCAGCATCATCATCCGAATTGTTTATGACATGATTTGTCTCGACACCTTTCCCTTTCGCTTCTTTAATCGATTTTTGGTAAAGGTCCACCAAGTGTTTAGCCGTGCGACAAGTACGTGACCAATGTCCTGTCATTCCACACCGGTGACATGTGCTTTCTTTCATCCGTTTGTTTGGATGATCATGTGTTCCCCCTCTATTATTGTTATGGTTTTGGAATGAGATTCCTCGACCACCTCCTCTATTCCAACTTCGGCTAACACCACGACCTCGTCCTCGGCCTCGACCTCGACCTCGGCCTCTACCTCGAAAATAACCACGTCCTCGGTTATTATAAAATATAACATTCTCTCCAGGGAATGATATATTTTCTGTAACATTTACTTCAGGAAATGGTACAGAACCTGTCGGCCGAGATGCATGATTTTTCATCAGTAATTCATTATTCTGCTCGGCCAATAGAAGACATGAGAGAAACTCTGAGTATTTTGTATACCCCTTTTCTCGATACTGTTGTTGGAGGATAATGTTCGAGGCGTGCATAGTTGAAAAGGTTTTTTCCAACATCTCATTTTCGCTAACTATTTCACCACATAATTTCAAAACTGATGTGATTCGGTACATCGCCGAGTTATATTCACTGACAGTTTTGAAATCTTGAAATCTGAGATGAATCCACTCATATTTTGCCTTGGGGAGGATTACCGTTTTTTTGATGATCAAAACGGTCTTTTAATTTTTCCCAAAGATCCTGCATAATATTAGTGCTTTTGCTTTATTTTCAGTTGATGCACTTTTCTCTTTAATTGTGGCTAAAGACCTTTTGATTCCAAGTGCAAATCAGCATCCAATTGCCACGATAGATAATTTTTCCCCGATATGTCGAGGACCTCGAACTCGATATTAGCCATTTTTGCCATTATGATTTTGTCGTAGAAGAGCGTTCGTGCTGATAACGTGTTATGAAAAACGAAGAAATATAGAAGACCCGAGAATCATATCGTTAACTAGAAACCGAAATCGATCGTTTGAGAGACCCAGGAACAAGATTTCAATAATTTTCTTTTCTTGGAATTATGTACAAATGAAGGAGGGAAATGAACTATTTATAGAAAATCCGAAGTTACTGTTCACGTATACGTATTTATGAACAGTAACCGTATGGCGGCTAAACAGTAACCGTATGGCGGCGTGAACAGTACCCGGCTGCGTGAACAGTGTCCGGCTGCGTGAACAGTACCGTAGCTTCATTTATTTATTTAAATTTTATAAATGATTTTAACAATTTATATCATATCATGAAACTATATGAAATAATTTATCAAAACGAATTGTTAAACTATTTTGTAAAATTAATTGATCATGCTATATATATAATTAACTAATTATTGAGGAAACAAATAATTTATAATTAATATAACGATATATAAAAGAATTTATAAAACTTTAATCGTAAATTTTATTACTAACATATTTTGTTTGTTCAAAACATTTTCTGTATAAATGACCATCAATATTATATATGATAATATTTTGCATGGTAAATATTTATTAATTTATATAGATTAGATAATATAATTGTTTATATGCGGCGGTATTACCGTATGCAAAAGTAAAATAATTCAGGCGGCATTGTCGTCCATAAAGATAAAACAATTTAGGCGGTACGACCGTCCATAAATAACACAATATTTCAAATTAATAATTAAGGCAGCTCAGCCGTCCAACAGTAACAAATAAATAATTAAGGCGGCTCAGCCGTCCAATAGTAATAAATAATTAAGGCGGCTTAGCCGTCCATTAATTTAAACAATAATTAACTGATATTTATATATAGCTTGGGGTTAATTCTATTCAAGAATCAATTAATATGTGTATATATCATTAGAGCGAATATATAATATTACCTTTGTCGTAGAAGAGCGTTCGTGCTGATAACGTGTTATGAAAAACGAAGAAATATAGAAGACCCGAGAATCAGATCGTTAACTAGAAACCGAAATCGATCGTTTGAGAGACCCAGGAACAAGATTTCAATAATTTTCTTTTCTTGGAATTATGTACAAATGAAGGAGGGAAATGAGCTATTTATAGAAAATCCGAAGTTACTGTTCACGTATACGTATTTATGAACAGTAACCGTATGACGGCTAAACAGTAACCGTATGGCGGCGTGAAGCGGCGTGAACAGTACCCGGCTGCGTGAACAGTGTCCGGCTGCGTGAACAGTACCGTAGCTTTACTATTCATTTATAACAAATGATCAATTTTTTTTTTAGATTTTAAAATCTTCTGAAAACTTCTTCCATTGACTCTATATATCTAACTTCGACAATATTGGCGCTTGTTGTTACATATACTGAAGAAAAAATAATAATTTATAAGGGCATAAACAAATCGGCTTTCATAAATCCCATCCATAAAACCATGCTATATATATTACTATTCATTTATAACAAATGATCAATTTTTTTTTTAGATTTTAAAATCTTCTGAAAACTTCTTCCATTGACTCTATATATCTAACTTCGACAATATTGGCGCTTGTTGTTACATATACTGAAGAAAAAATAATAATTTATAAGGGCATAAACAAATCGGCTTTCATAAATCCCATCCATAAAACCATGCTATATATATGTTTTCACGTGGTTATCCTATATAATCGAAATTATATACATATAAAAAAATATAGAATAAGTCCTAATCTTAAAAAACATTGGCACGTCAGCATGATTCAAAACTCGAATATTAATAAACTCGTATAGTAGACATTTGGCGAATAGAATAATCCAATATATACACGATCATGAAAACACGATGTATATACATATATATATTATATAACATATAAGTCAGTGTCTATTGATTATTTAGATGTTATATGCTGTATAATGATAGTGAAATTCGACGTGTATGCACATATAATCTAATGTGAATATAATATATAGATGAATAACGTGTAATGTATAAACTAATTAAAATATTTATACACAAAAAAAACTAATTAAAATAGGGGGATGTGATAATGGGGATTAAGTAAGCTAAAAGGCATTTAAATGATAAGTCGAAAAAAGATTAGGGCAGAAAATTTTGACCATTAGATATGCTATGTGTAACTATTTTGTTCCTCTAAAGACTTGCAACCTCGTCATGTTTTCTTTTCTTTTTTTTTTTAATAAATGAAGCAATTTTAATTTTGGTTTAAAGATATATTATTAATTATAATTTTAGATAACGTGTGATTTTTTTTTTGTGTGTACGAATGATATGTTTTAAAATCTTTTATAGTCTGGGTCCGTTTCAAAACGAATGACAGGTTATTTTAAAAAGTATTACAGTTAAAATGGAAGTGGATAAAAAAATTTATATACGTAGAAATTATGGAATTATTGTCTTATGTACCAAACAATAAGATTTCCTTAATAAATTATGTTAAAATCGTCACAATAAATAAAAATTTCCAATTTTGTGGCAGTAAAAATGTTAATTTTCTTTCCAACAAAAAGATATTCAAATGATTTGTTTCCTTTTTTTTTAATCCGAAATTTCTATGTTTTGAATGCCAAAATTTAAAGGAACAAACAACAATTTGTAAAAAAAAAAACTGGCGAAGTGTAAAAGGAGAGCCAAAGTAAATATAAAAAAAAAAAGTAACCGAAAGCATTCATAATGTGATCGCTGATTCTTACGTTTGACCTCTCTCTCTCTCCCTGCATAAAAAGTAAATGTCCCAAAAATTCGCAGCTAAAACAGTTATGTTACCGTGACGGAGTTTCACCCACGCGCCCGCTACGCGATTGTACGTCACTCGCCGTCGTGAACCCGTTCTAAACCGGATGGCAATTTTTCACCGAAGAAATACTTATTATAACCGGAGAAAGTTGATCGGATTTACTTTTTTAACCGTGGTAATAAACGGAGCCTATCCCCTTCGATTTCGTCAGCTTATCTGAAGCCACGGTAAAGCGAAAAGCCGCTGACGGGTCAACGGCGTTTGACCCGCGAATCCCGACAAATAAACGGAGGGTATTAAAGTAATTTCTCACGCCTATAGATATACCTCGAGAGAGGGATACAACTCAACCACTCTTTTGTTATATTTATAGAGGGATAAGAGGACGAAGTGAGAGATAGGGAGGGAGAGGAATAGGAAGAAATGAGGACGAGAAGAGGGTCGTGTTATCCGAGAGAGGAGGTTATGGTTGATGCCGTCAGGTGTGGCGGCAAGGTCAAGAGGGTTTCCTCCGGCGACGGTTTTGGCGGCGGAGACTGCCGGAAACGGCGGAGGGTCCTGTCATTTTCCGGTGTGTCTACGTCATCAACCGGAGGAGGAGATGGAGGGTCGGATTTGTTTGATTCGATTCCGGACGATCTCGTCGTCTGTATCCTCTGCAAACTTAGCTCCACTGCTCGTTGTCCCGCCGATTTCATCAACGTATTGATGACGTAAGCTTTCCGGCGATCCTTTTCACCGTTCGTTTTTCGCGCAGGAATCGCTGGTTATTGATCTGTTTTTTGTTTGGGAACAGATGCAAGAGATTGAATGGGTTAGCTCTGAATTCTCTGGTGCTATCGAAAGTTTCGGCGAAAGCCCTCGCCGTCAGAGCGAAGAACTGGTCGGAATCTGCCCACCGATTTGTCAGACGATGCGCCGACGCCGGAAGCGTCGAAGCTTGTTACACTCTAGGCATGGTAAGTCAATATCATTTCAGATCACAGAATCGGAAAAGTTTCCATTTTTTTCTCGCAAAATCATTAGCGATTTCGTGTTTCTGATTTTCTATTCTCTTTCCTTTTCTGGGCAGATTCGATTTTACTGTCTGCAGAACAGAGGAAGCGGCGCGTCGCTTATGGCCAAGGCGGCGATTAACTCTCACGCGCCGGCGTTGTACTCTCTCGCCGTGATTCAGTTCAACGGAAGCGGCGGCTCGAAGAACGACAAGGACCTCCGAGCCGGCGTGGCTCTGTGCGCTCGTGCCGCTTTCCTCGGCCACGTCGACGCCCTCCGCGAGCTCGGCCACTGCCTCCAAGACGGCTATGGCGTTCCGCAGAATATCGCCGAGGGCCGACGGTTCCTCGTTCAAGCCAACGCGCGCGAACTTGCCGCCGTCCTCTCCTCGTCCGGCGTCGTTCCGAATCGTTTGTGGCTCACTTGGTCGCAGACCCAGCCACCGACCCTCAACGGCGGAGCCACGGTAGGGATGAGCACGTGCCCGTTGCTGAGCGATTTCGGGTGTAATGTCCCTGCGCCGGAGTTCCATCCGGCGAATCGGTTTCTAGCCGAATGGTTCTCCGAGCGCGGGGGCGGTGTCGTCCGATGCGGCGGTGGGTCGCCCGGAAATGGGCTGAGACTGTGTTCGCACGGCGGATGCGGGCGGCCGGAGACGAGGAAACACGAATTCCGGCGATGCTCCGTCTGCGGTGCCGTGAACTATTGCTCGCGCGCCTGTCAGGCCCTTGACTGGAAGCTCCGGCACAAGGCCGAATGCTCGCCCGTGGACCGGTGGCTCGGGGAAGACGCCGACGGTGGTGGCGACGCTAACGACAACGTCCAGGGAGACGGCGAAGTTAACGGAAACAACGTTGTCCCTCTGAGTTAACGGTGACGGTAGGATTGACGGCGTTGAGTAGAAATGTTTAAGAGACGGCAGATTTTCACGGTAGTTTTCTTTTGTTTTAGCGGAAAAGTTTTTTTAAGTTAAAGAAATTCCATCGGGAAACCGTTAGACAGCGTTAGATTTTTGGTATTCCGGTCGATTGTATAGAGGCGGTATAAACGGAACGGCGTGAATTAGAAAAAGTTTTCTTTTTCTTTTTCTTTTAATTTTCATTTGTATTTAATACCCTTTTTTCCCGTTTGCACGGTAAATTTAGAAATGGAAATCTCCGTTTCATTTTCACATGAAAATTCGAATGCGACAATTCATACACGTTGATCGTTGTGAAATCGGTTTGTGGATCGAAAGCTGAGGAGCAAAAGACAAAATACGGTGCCGAGTATTAACCATATCGTCCGTACATGACGCACATCCATACATCCATATACACTTGAATCTATGTTTAGAAATTGAATTTAGCTTTCAAGTAAAGGCAAAAATGAAAATTATGTAATGAGGAATGAGCATTAATTAAAAGGATTAATTTAGAATTAGTTGGGGGTTTAACGTTGATTAATGGGCACGAGAAGTGATTAACGGGTGACTAAGGTTCTCTCTCTCTCCTTTTCTATTTCGTAATTAATTTCGATGGACCAAAGAAATCTCATTGCAAATTGAATAAGAGAATACCCAAAAATCTGATAAATAAATAAGATGGACCCATTTTGCTTTTATTTATTTAATTATTTTTTTTATAACTTAATATCCATACATTCGAAGAAAATCGGATGTTCGAAATGTAGCCACATTATATTTGGTTGGTATTGTCATTTTCCTTACAAGACACAACCAATAAAATCTAAAACTATAGCAATTTATTCTTGTGACGTTGGAAAAGTGTGTAATGGAATCGGAACCAATGTAAGTGAAAATGACAACAATGCATCATCATCATCATCATCATCATCATCATCATCATTATTATTATTATGGCAAACAACAAAAGGTTCATTTAAATGGAGAGTATGGAAGAAAAGAAGAGTGGATCCTATTTCTATTGGTTTCCACCGATTTCTATCAATTAACATGTTGATTTTTTTTTTCCATAACATATATATCGAGAGAAATTATTGACTTTCCATGAGAGAGAGAGAGAGAGAGAGAGAGAGAGAGAGAGAGAGTATTAGTGGGGAATAGAAGATGCAATTTATGAAGTGGGGTTTATCTTAAAGCATTGATACCCACTCACAAAACATTTCAAGCAAAAATGGAAGACAACCAAAGTGGAAAATTCAACATAAAAAAAAAAGAAATAAAAGCAAAAAAACATGCACGAAAAAAGAGCAAAAAGTGAAGATTAACCTAAAACCTATAAATATTATTTCCCCAACCAAAACCAAAAAAAATGATAGAAAATTCAATTCCCCACAATATAAGGTTTCCACTTTTATAAACAAATCTCAATCAATCTGCATCTTACCTATTTTAAAACTTATAACTATAGTATTTTATTAAAAAAAATAATACTTTATAAATTATATTTTCTAGAAAACGAAAAAAATGGATTTCATTTCACCTACAAATATTGACTCATTTAGGTGCTTTTTTTTTAATTTACCGCAATTAATAATGTAAACAAATAGGGCCCTCTTTTTCTTTTTTTGGGGCCATAATAATTACATGTGTTAAATGAATGGTCAAAACTGGATAGTGGTGAGTGGTCCTCAGGCCCGGCCCATTTATTGTCAGTGGTTGGAATTTCTACCTTTCCTCCTAGAACTCATATATATATATATATATATATACACACACACATATATATGTATATGTACGTACGGGTGATACAAGTTTTCTTTGTTCTCGCATTTTGAGATGGAGATTGAACGGCCGATTCACTCGTACGTACGGTTGCTTGCGACAAAAATGGTACATATATATGATTTCAATTTCTTTTTTTGTCTTTTCATTATTATTTATCTGGTTTATAAATTTATCATTGCGGCGCGTCCTTGGAGTATATTTATGTATCTAGTTCATGTATAATTATATAATAAAGAAATAATTGGTACTAAAAAAAGATGAAGAAGAAAGGCATGATTATATTCGCAAAATGTGAATAAAATAATTAACAATATAGTGTCAATTATAAATTAAACGGTCCATGAATACGTGAACATCTCTATTGAGCGAGCCCTTATGTTAAAAAAAGAAAAAGAAAAAAACACTTTGCTTTGGGTCCTATGACCACTCAATGAAGAAAGACTTTTATGCCCAAATGGGTATTTTCCAGGAGATGTTGTATTTTATGGGCCTTAGACCCAACAATAAGATGGATGTTGGGCTGTTAAGGTGAAACTGAGACATAAACTGTGTGCCGTTTACTACTACTCAAAACGTTGTGTGTTTCTTGGTCTGAAATGATAAACGAGACGCAGTTGGACTTTAACAGGGAAAAGGCCCAAGTTGACGTCCATTTTTTTGTCCATGTTCATTTGATCGAATCAGATCTTCAAGTAGGTGAGGTTCACGCGCTCGATTCCATCTCCTCCTTGTCTGGGAGTCAATCATTTGTAAGATTTCGCCAATTTCTAGGATCTGTTAATGTGTTGTTTTGGATTCTGTATTGATCCATTGAACGAGCTTTCCCGTTTAAGGAATATTTAGGGTTTTCTCCGACACGTTGGTCCCGATTGAGAGGTTTGTGCGGGTTTTCTGAAATCCATGGATTAATCGAACCCTTGTTCGAGAGAGAACGTGGGTTTCCAGAAATTCGTGAAATTGGGCTGTGTTTATTAGAGTGGATGCCTATGAAAATAGTATTCGGTCCTCAGATTCAAGCTTTAGATGATGTTAAATTTCAGCTGGCGATTTCAGTATCATACCTCAATGTGTTTCAGGAGCTTTCACTTTGGGAGAGGAGATGGGTTTCATCATGGAATTCGCAGAGAATCTTGTGCTGAGATTGATGGAGGATCCAAAGGAGAGGGACAGGAAAGCGAGGGAGCATATTTATCAGATGCATGATCGGTGCAAGAAGATCAAGGAGATGTGGGATTTGCCCATTCGTCCTTACGGGTTCTGGACATTCGAGCGCCACAACGCTCAGCTTCGGTGGGACCCTCAGATCAGTCAGGCGCCTGGTCGAAGGGATCCGTACGATGATCTTCTCCAGGACTCTGCTTCCGCTTCTTCATCATATTCTTCCTCCTCCAAGTAAAAAGAAATGGCGAGTTTTCTTGTCTGTTTTTGGATTTTCAGTTCTTGTCTTGTTTGTCCCCATGGTTATTATAAGGTTGAATTTAGATGGGGAATCACGAAATTCGGCTACGTTGGTTATAGAACGAGAATGCCTTCTTTTGTAGTTTCAATCTGATAGATTATTTTTGTAGCCTGAATTGCAACCAATTTTTGGGTCTGAGCTTATATTGATTTATCCTTTGGGAAATTGAGATCATACTGGCGGGTTCTAGAAACATTTTGCTAATAAATCCATATCGAACTGCAATTGTTTTGTCGATGCAGATAAAAGATGAAGCAGTAGATTGTCTGGACGGGCGTTGTCTTATGCTGCCTTCAAGCTTTTTTTCCGAGGTTGTGTTCTTTCGTTTACATCCGTGTTTATTTGTTCTTCAGATATCAGAACCCGTGGTGGAACCCGGAATAAGGACTCTGAGACTTGTTCATGGATGAATGATCATGTTTCTTGGTAAAGTTTGTGTTTTTGTTTTTTCAGCTTTTTCTTCTTCAGTTGACATGATTACACTTGCTGAAACATCTAATTTTTAAATTATATTTGGATGTTCTTAATATCCGGTCTCGGACTCGTCCCCTCGGGTTGCACGGCCGAAGTATCTCTGCCTCTGCCCTGGCCTCATGAAGGGTGGGTACTCTCAAGTTGTGGTGAGGGTTCAGTTACTTGGTCGGCAAGGTAAGCATGAGCGGGTGAGGGGCCGTGATGGGGTTGACGATGCGAGTGGAAGCCGACAGGGTAAGAGGTGAAGTGACGAGGGGAGAGAGAGAGAGTTAGGGCGGAGGCGATGGCGACGGGACGAGAGAGTAAAAGGCGTGGAGAGATGTACCCTAGTCCCTAGTGATTGGTTCGAGTATGCAGTGAGGGCAGGGCAGCCAGGCGAGGTAAAATCGCCGTCGCTCCTTGCTCGCGGGAGTCGAGTCTCACTCTACCCCTTGTTCCTCATGCCTCTCTTCTCTTGGCTCGGCCAATCGACTCATCCCCTCTCTTTCTTTCCTTCTTCAACCGTGGATTCGGGTAACCAGCCAATGAAATCCGACATCGAATCTATGGTTCAGATTCTTTGATGCGATATATCAGATTTCGATCTCACGACAACTCGGGTCTTCAGATTTTAGATACTCATGGAATCCATGGATTCAGGTCCTAGTTGTGGTATGTGTGTATAATCCTAATTCAAATTTCAAGGCACGTATTCATATGAGGGTTCCATGAACATATATCAGGACACAATCATAAGATCATTTACAGATGGTATCAAGCTATAAACCCTGAAGAGACAAGACCAAACAAACCCACACTCGACAAAACAAAACGTTGATGCATTAATCAATCCGAGTCGGAACCAGACGACGATTTCGTTGCATCAACATCATCACCAGCAGCATCTCCCTTCTTCGGTGCTGTCTCTTCGTTTCGATAAGTCCTGACAATGTCGTCGACGGGAACGGACGGGAGATAACCGACAATAGGATAGCCCTTCTGGGACATGTCCCTGATCAGGTGGTTATACTTCTCGGACAAGTGGGCAGCGACGGGCAAGGCTTTGTCAGTCACAGAGTGGATGGGTCCGTACTGGTTGAGTTTGGTCCATGCCCTCACCGAGTTGGTAACGAGGAAGTTCTTGTATTCCGTCGCTGCGTAGTTGAAAGCCGCCTTTACGCCTCCGGTCTGAGCCTCTTTTGCAAAGTTATGAGCCTTCTCGGAGGCTTTGTGGATCAAAATGTTTGCTTGGCTGACCACTTGCTTAGCCAGTGGAGGGGCGTGCTTCTCGAACTTGTCTAAAGCTTCGTCTACCTGCAAGAAAGTAAACGATCAGATTCAGATTCAGATCATCAGGCAAAACGTTCATTACTTTAAACGGAAAGCGATGCAAAGATAAACCCATCTAATCGATGGAAATTAAATCTTGGTCTGGTTTTACAAATACAAAGCCCATATGATCCCACCTTAGTGATTGACAAGGTAATCTCTGGAAAGCTTTGGTGACACTGTAGTCAAACCCACTATTCAAATTGACGAATATCCATCCTCTAAAGAGATCAATCGAACCTACAAAAGATGAAATAATGGAGAGAGAGAGAGAGAGAATGGATTACCTTGTTGTCGACAAAGACGAGGAGACTGTCGGGGACATCCTTGAACTTGTCGAAGACGGGGCCGACGGCGGCGGTGACGGCACTTTCCACGGTCTCGACCGTAGATTTGAGGGGACCGGAGTTCTGCTTGGCGTAATCGTACAGGTTCGACACGCAAACCAGCGCCTGAATCGCTGCTATCTTCACGAAACCGAGGTGCTTCAGCTCAAGCTCCTTGTTCTTGCTAGCAGTCTCCATCTTCACCACCGACAAAAGAGAGAGAAACTCAAAAAAAAAAAAAAAGCTATAGGATCAGAGGATTCGCCAAAAAAAACGAGAGATTGTTTCACTAGGAAATTAATTTGAACCTACTTGAAAAGGATTGTTAGAGATTGGCTTTGCTTCTGAGATCTGGGCTCTTTGTCGTGGATGAACACCGTAGTAGTGTCATCACGTCGGGGCTTGGGAGTATATAAAACGCAAAGTGGAGGAAAATTAGATCTGATTGGTTCGTGTCATCGGACGGCTGAGAATGGATCTGAGGAAGTGGTGGCGGCATGCGGGCCCGGAGTTGGATAACCAAGCGAATCGTTTTCAGAGAAAGTTGTGGGTGCCTCTGGGCTGTGGGCCCCAATTTGGAGAATTCTAGGGAAAACTAGGGGACTCCGCCCAGGACACGTGTACGTCTCCGATTTTGTGTCGCTCGGGTAGATTAGAACAGACTCCAATCGAAACTTATTAATAAACAAAGACAACTTACGACAAATGGACATGTACTGTTACTTTTTTTTTTTTTTTTTTTTTGGATAAGCACATTATTTTACTCGACGTTTTGTTTAAGAACAATATTATATCACAGTGGAACACAGAGAACATACGGATATAAACCAAGCCCCTGTTGTCCAGACGTGAAACCAAAAAGCCCAAGCCCAGGAAATAAAAATCCATAAAGCAATATAAAGAGGGAAGGAAGATTCAAACGTGGGGGGTATAGTACTTCCGTTGACCAAAGTCAACAACTGCATAAATCAAGCAGCAGGCACAGATTTCTGGCGCTTAGAGTACTGAAGGATCGGCTCCCTGACCTGAGGAGAAGGAAACTCCCACACACATTATTAGAGAGAAAAAGAGAGAGAGAGAGGGGGTGGGTTTTAGAAATGACCATACCGTGCTTGTTTTCCTGCCACGCCTCTCTTGGGACGGTTGGCTACAAGTGACATTATTGTCCTGGTCATCGCTGTTCTTAACTGCGCTGTTCTTGTTCCCAGGGACAACGCTCTCTATCGAAGCCACGGGCTGCCATTTTTATTACAACAATAATAATATCATATATACAGTTGCTAATCACACTATATGTGTAGATGTGGTGTATACCTGTGCCCTGCTAATGGGAGTGCTGCCATTCTCTCTTGCTTTGGAGATTGTCTGATCACTTTGGACCGATCCGTTTTGGTACGGTTCAGATCTTCCTTTTGTCCGCGTGAAGTCTGATCCGATGGAGTGGATGCCACCGCATGTGGATATGTCCCTGTGGTTGCTTCCTGTCGTTTCGATACGGTTTTTGCATCACTCTTTACGTGCGTGGGATTATAATAGAGTTTGAGATCTTTTCTTTAGAAGGGTGTGTGTATATATATACACACACGCACACACCTGTGATCATGTTGACCACGGAGCCATTGGTCTTGTTTTGAGCATCACTAGCATCCACATCCTGGGAGAACCACAGTGGCTTGTAACATTTTTTACTTTATTCAGATATTATATAAAGAAAGATTCGGGTAAGAGATTGATTTTACCATATGGTCTGAATCGAGAGCCTTTCTGACCTCATTCAGCTTCCTCTCGGTTAGATTAGAATGGATCACACGCTTTCCTGTATTAAATAAAGTTGGATCAGCGGCAAATATTTGTAACTATTTCCACCACCATAAAAGACGAGAGAAAAGTTTGATTAGTTGAAGCAACAGACCTAGCCTACGGTTGGCTGAAGCTTCGACGTAACCTTCTTGGGTCATTCTATCGATCAATTTACGGACAGTCGTCTGATTTGCTTCACCATCCAGCTTGTTTTGTAGCTTTGTAACGGTAACGTACTTCATTGGAAGAGCATGGTACAAAGCCTAAAGATCATCTCGACTTACATCAGTGATTTATGTCTGTAGTAACCTTATTTATCGGATTTTCGGTATGTGAAAACGTTAGAAGAGAGGAAAATGCACTGGTAGAATTCACTTACCTTCATGTACATGTAATCCTCAGGAGCTACTGGTTTCCCATACTTTGGAAGAGTTTGACCATCCACTTCTTCTTTCACAAAATTGAATTTGTCATCTGGTGTCTGGTTATTGAATTCATGTCGTTCAAAAGAAACGCGAAGTGAAAAAAAGAAGAAGAATATACGTGAAATCAAATCAGTAGTGACAGGATGAATCAAACCTTCTCCTTGTTTATTATGTAAGTGTCCTTCCCTGTCTTTGACAGAACACCTTCTTTCTCGAGCTGATCCACAATTTCTGTATGTCAAGAATGGCAACCGGTAAATGGAGGAAGAATGAATGCAAAGAGAGACGGGGAAAGCAATAGAGTATGAAGGGAATAAACGATAGACAGAGCATAAGCAAATTTTGATTTGTATCATTCGATCAACCATGTTGTTGTCGTTACGCATTAATTTCCATCAAGCCTTGATTTACCTTCAGTCAAAACCTGCAACAGTCAGACAGGGGGTAGCATTGATTTAGGACAATGAACATGAAAGGTAGATATGTAAGATCAAGGTTTCAGTTTTAGCACAGCATGCAGACAGGAGATATTCGAAGGTGTAAGATTCGTACCACTGAGATATCTGGGAAATTTGAGAGGATATCTGTAAGCTCCAGAGTGTCAAGATGGCAGGAGTTGACCCAGTCTTTCACCCTAGCTAACTGTTGTTCATTTTCAACCGGATCTTGCGTATCATCTTGATGCAAGTAACAAAGAAATGAGATAAGAATAAGCTTCTGATTCTTTGAATTCAAGTTAATTTACAAGTTTGAAAATTCACCTTCGTCGACCTCTCCATTATTTTCATCTCCTTGTTTTTCTATCAGAATTATAGAAGTGAGTTAGTTTCAAATCTTCACGGTGAAAATTTTACAGGAAGGGCATAGTACACTAAGTTGTGTCATTCATCTCTTACCCACTGGAGCCACAATGTATTGATCTTCTTGTGATTGACTGATCTGAAATCAATAGTAAAATGGATGTCTTATGGGAACTTATCAACACACAGTTAATCAGTATAAGACTTTGTTCACCTCGCTATCTGAATCAGAGAGCTGATCTCCATGAACAGAATCAGCTCCCAAACCCTTTCCATCTTCTTGCATGTCATCATTTTCATCCTCGCAAGGATCAAGCACACTCTTCACCTGCACAAGCTCACTCGTAATGGTTATATAGATCAAGTGCCGGATAGATGTCTAGCGATTTATTTTCATATTCTTCTAACTCTACCTTTAACGTTAACACAAGATGTTTGCTGTTCACATTCCCAACTTCCATTCTAAGAGGATTTTTTGTCCATACATGATGAGCTTCTTCCTCAGTACAACCTCTAAAAAATGGTGGCTCGTAATCTGCCGGCTGCAAACATTCCAGATGGGAAGTTGTCAATCTTTTTTCTAGATGTTCAATTATGGCTGATGATAGAAAATGTGAAAAATATGCACCGCGGGAGAACTTCTATAGGATGGGGAAAAAACCACAACCAAATTGTACGAGTGAAATCCGATATAAATTGCAATAGTCACATCCACAAAGATCGAATTCATATTATCAGCAGTTTATACATAAAATAGCACTAATGAAATGACAGAAATTCTATTCAACTCGCATTCGTTAATGAGCATATTATATAACATCCATTCTTGGAGCTAAATTATTTATATACATAATCTAGCACTAATGATTTGAAAGAAGTTCTTTTCAAATCGCATTCACCAATGAGCATATCATAACCTGCATTCTTATAACTAGGAAAGCATTCAAGAAAGCTTACCGTCACATCATCATAGTACAGGAGCTTCATCAATATGGTGCGCTGGTACAGAAGCAAAGAAAGTAAATAATCTCGCAGTCAGCAATTTTCGAAACCAGTATAAACATGAATACTCATTCACGGTTCAGTAGATGAATTCATTACCTCATCTGGCATTTTGTCGAGAGTCCTCATCAACTGAACCAGTGTACGGACCATTTTGCAGGCAGAGCTCCTGGTTTCAGGAAAAGCATGGTTACGCACAAAGCACGTCGGGGATAAAACCATACAAACCTGGGAAAAAGTCTCAGTCACGGACCTCATCTGATTGGGAGTAATTTCAGAAGTGGAATTGCATTTGAAGGTGCCTCCATGTTTCTTATTCCCAATGCGACTGATGTTCATCATGACTTCCTGGCTATCAGAATTGGAATAGCTGAAAGAAACTGCAGCAATACGATTGTTTATCAATCAGCTGAAGTTGTGTTGAAACATAACACAGGGAAAAGTCAATGGAATCAGATACTGCACTCAGGCATAAGCCATTGATCATTAGATCGATGATATCTACCGACTAAATCCTTTCAGAATCTTTTCACTTGAGCAAATGTACGATACCAGATGGAAACGTAATACATTAGCACCGAATGAATCTATTAGTAATTCGACCGCTGATCAAGCATCATGGAGCCAGATCTTACAAGCGTATTCCTCAATCATAGGGCCATCAACTGTTTCACAGATGCAGAACATGAGCGTCTTCAGATATTTTCTCTGTAGTGCATCGTAGACCCCTATTTGACATGACAGGATAGACGATCAATACTTTTGATCATAAGCAGGGAATGCTAAAACAATTAACAGATCATGATCAAATGGGATGATGTGGAGTACCTTTCTCCATCCAGTCAATTAATCGGCGTGATTCAGCATCCATGGGCATCAGCTTCTTGATCTTCATATCTGTTATTGTTTTCAAAACGGGTTATCTTCTCCAACATTCTTATTTTCTCTAAACTCGAGGATCAGAGCTTTGGATTTCCCTAGATTCCAGAATCAGAGATTTACGAACTTGAAGATCAAAAGCTCACCTAAAGCAGGAACCGATTTATCATTAAAGTACTTCTCTGGAAAGAGGCCTCTAATGTAACTGATGTTGAAGATAGCTATACGGAGCAAGTTCCTCGTCTGTTACAAATGACGGATGACCAAAACCAAAACGTCAAAGGCATTAGAGGTCTACAAATCGATCGATTCAAGGTTCAAAAGTTCAAATACATGTGACACAGAGCATAAACCGAAGAACACAGCATTAGAGTATAAAACAAAACAGCAAGGAACACAAAACACAAAGCAGCTTCACACTGACAAAAATCCACTTCGTGAACACAGCAAGGAACAAGAGAATTTCACTTATCCATGCTCAGTCATGAAGAAGAGATGAATCTCGGAAGCTCAGTGATGGTGGCTTACCAAGAGCAGCGAGTCCTGTTCGGTGATCTCTGCTTCTTTCACTTTCTGCGCCACAACCTGAGTGGAAACCAATGCCACCATGCAATCAGAATGAGAAAACTCGAAGGGAGTGAGATCACCTCCTTATATTAAGAGATGAAAAATGAAATTGAAGATCAACAACGTCTTCTCCTCACCATTTTTGCAGACCTCTGAGAAGAAAAATGGAATGAAGATCTCCAGAAGCTTCAGAGAGTGGAAATAGTTGAAAATTTGAAATGGAAACGTTTGTATGATCGTCTATGGCGGGGGCTTCGTCGAGATTTATATAGGCAGCAGTAGCACGAGATAGAGAAAGAGCG